AAAAAAAAGTATCTGCAACAAATAGTTATCTTGCATAGGCAAAAAGCAACAAGATGTTTTTCTAAAAGTAAAATGTTGTTTTTAAGATCTTAGTTTAATAAATGACATAACCAAAGGCTGAGCACAAGCCATGATGATTACATTTTGCCGGAAAAGACCAGTGCCTCTGGCTTTTTGTTTTAGAGCCAAAAGTAATCCTATTTCCTGGCTGTAGTTGCAGTTGTGAGCCATTCCTCCTACCTGAGATAAAAAGTAGAGATCATAAAATAACAAGCATATAAAAGTAACTAACCAAAACAACATGAAACTGACCCAGTCTAGTAATAGAAACAGTCTATGATTGACAAAACAGCTATTTTTAAAAAATAATATAGTGAAGATTGGTAAATAGTTTCTTATGCCTAAAGCTATTTCTTAATTTAATAAAGTCGGCATCAGCCATATTAATCTGGCACTACTCCTGGGCTGAATTTAGACTCAATTATGCAAGGGGCCATGGATCCCTCCTAGAAGTCCTTGGTGATGGCAGGGATGTCCTCTTCAGAGGCTGACTATGTATGTACACACACACACACACACACACGCACCACTAATTAAATAAAACATTTATTTTTGGTGTTAAAATCTTCATCTGATTCTAGGTTTCTTTCTATCCACCTTCATTTAGTCAAAAAGTCTTAAGTATAAACCAAAGTAGGAATCTAAGTTAAAGTGTTTGCCTCAAAGCATTAGCAAAGCTGAACAGTGGCATGCAAGGCCAGTCTGCAAATCATTTGAGACAGGTAACTGGCAGGTACTGCTTTAAGCACTGCTTTGGGCATTGCCTACTAAGGGCATTGCCTAACTGAGTCAGGAAGTCCCAAAACAAAGTTTCAAATCACACTGATCAAAACAGGGTGGTGGCAAGGCAAGTTCCAACTGGTCAGAACCAAGATGGTGAAACACCGCCCCTATCATGAATATTCCTCCCCTTCTTTAGCCTATAATTAGGCCCTTGCTTAAACAGGCATTAGGACCTAGAGGGTGGTTCTCTTCGGCAGGGAGAACTAGCCTCTGCTCTGTATGTGGAATAGACTTTATAGTTTCTAAATAAATCTCACTGTCACTTTATACTATCTGCTCACTCCTGAATTCTTTCTTACTCAAAGCCAAGGACCCACTGGACTTCAAGTGGCTCCCAGTCTTGGGAGGAGTCACTTTCTTATGTCAATTTGACTTTCATAGCCAAAGGTGACAAAGTGCTGGATCTGGCACTTGAGAATATTATTTAAACTGGTACTTCTGGAGACTAATAGTATAAAAATATGCCTCAGATTATGGTAATAATTATCTTTAACATTTTTGAAGGCTTATAATATGCCAGGCACTTGGTTAAAAACCTTATATCATTATCTTATTTGTTCTTTATACTAACTATAGAAGGTAGATACTATTAGTTTATTCCAGTTTATAAATGAAGATATTAAAGCTTTGAAAGATTAAATAACTCACCTAAAATCACACATCTACTAAGACAAAAACAGCATGGGAACTCAGTCAGATTTGAAAAGTAGATTTCTAAACACTTGGATACACGGCCTTCTTTGGAGGAGAGCAATCATACGGTATCTGTGAGAACTAGGTCTTGGCTAAGAAATGGAATTAACATTTATTTACCTTGTTCCCCACATTATCTTTCACTCCAAGACTAGTGATGATTATACATAATTAACCAAGATCTTATTCACACCAACAGAAAAGTACAATTAGAAACAGAAGCCTAAACTTTACCATAATTAATTAATTTACAACTAGTCATTTCTTATGGACACATTTTAATTCGCTTTTTTTTTCTTTTCTTCAAATAAGTAACCTAAGAAAAGTTCATAATTCATGATTTTATCTTTACCCTACCCATACCATATCCCCATGCCTTTAGGAAATTAGTGGTAATTTTTTTCAATAAAAACAAATGTGTTTTAAATTCCAAGAATTCTTCTATGTTCCCAATTCCTTCAGTTTTATTTACATTCACCCATTATAAGTTCCACCACCTTCTCTATTTTTTAAGAAGAAAGATAATTAAACTCCCAGCTTCCTTTTACTGCATACGTTCTTCAAAATACATTTCTTACTTTAGATATCTAGAAAAGGTATTAAAAATAGTAACATTTTGATACACTTCTACCCCAACTGGCACTGAAACTCCCTATGATTTGGTCCCTCTCAAAGCTTTTGTGAAGTTTCTTTTTGAAGTTTTTAAAAGTTATGACTTCCTACACACTGGTGCATTGGCATAATACCCCATGCCCGCAGGTCCCTGTGTCATTGTTACCACTGTGTTTTGATGGGCTCCACGCTTGCAGCTCTCCAAGGATCCGTGACTGAGTTGAATGAAACCTTTGCTACTTGGCAGGAGTAGTAAGAACACATAAAACCTGCCAGCTGTCAAGGATGTAAATGGTGATTTTGTTTCACTTTTTAATGAATTAAAGCAGGATTGAAATTGATCCAAAGAAAGCATGTTTGGCCTTTTAAAGGAAGAAAAAATGAAAGAGAAGGATGTTTTCTTCTCTCCCAGGCAATGGTGTGCAGTGAGGTGTTGACGATTTAGTATAAGTATTCAACACTCCAGAAAAGCTGTCTACAGGCTGTTTTTGTTGTTGCTTTCTTTTCCCGCTAATAAAATGCACCCTGTTGGCCTAAGGCGAATAGATCCCTCCCTTTCTGAGAAAAACTTCTATACTTTTGACCTTTCGCAAACCAAAAAATGAGAATCTTTCCTTAAGTGTTATATCTCAAAACATTTAGCAGGATGGATTGGGGAAGGCTACCCAAACAACTATACTTTTTATTTGTTTTGTTTTGCTTTTTTTTTTTCTAAAACCAGCAATAAGTGAAATGTATCTATGTCGCTTTCATTTACTGAACCACAGCAAGTACGTATAGAAACTGACCAAGCACAATTGCACATCTCCCAAATGCACTCAGAATTACCTTATTTAGCTAATCTTATAGGGCATTTGGTATACAGCCAATTAAGTTTTGCCCAATCATGTATTCACTTGTATAAGAAATGTACAGGTTTGCAATTGTCACTTGTGTCTAAGTAGTAAGACCATTAGATCTCCATACTATCTTCTAGTGTTAACTTGGCAAAAACAAAACAAAACAAAACAAAACACACATACACGAAAACAAGTGATTTCATTGCCATAAACTCTTCATTTGTATTCTTTCTCAATGATATAATAATATGGATTTTGCATTTCCCCATCTTCTTTCCACAAGCCAACATAGTTCCAAAATGGCTGCTTATCCTGTTCCTCTCCAGAATTAGCAACTCTCTCTGTATTAAAGGTACCAATCTTCCTTTGCCTCTACATTTGTAATTCACCTCATGGATCATTAAGATCAATCCAAACTTTACCACCAGAAAATCATGATCTGTGGTCTAATTTCACATGTTTTATTTCACAGAGAGTAGCTAACAGAGAAGCAGGAAATTTTCCTGTCATTGATAACATTTTCTCTTGAGTCTTCAGCATGTGTATTCAACCTTGCCTCCTCAAATGGCTTTGAGCCTAGAGGGTGCAGACATAAAGTAGTCAGGGCCCTAGATGAAGAAACCAGAGCTACTGCTTCCTGGAAAACTAATCAAAATCAACAACAAAAATATTGATGTTAAAACACTGACTGTACCCTCTCCACACAATAATCAACTCAAGGATCAGCCATGTGCCAAACCAAGTTCTCTTGTAACCAACCAATTCTGAACCAAAGCCAGGACTTGCTTAAACTGTTCATCACTTGTACTTATAAAACTAGATAGTTTTTGGTTTTATGAGTCACACTATTGCCTTTGGTTGGAGAGACAGTCTTCACAGGGACTGTGCTCTCTCAAATATGGCTATGTAAGAGTCAATTCCCCATGTTTTACATTGGTCACCTCTGAGTTAATCTTCATAGCTTTAAAACTCTCCATTTTTTTTCATCATTATCATTCAGTATAATTAGGAGCAAGGCATAGATAGAAAAAAATAAAATTATTACTGTTTTTCCACTGCAATGACAAGTATTTTAAAATATTCATATTTGTTAAAAGACATGAAAAGAGAGTAAAAAATTCTAATATACATCTTCTTGTAGTACCAGAAAGAGATGCTAAAGAGATTAGGAAAAAAATGACTGTGGCCATACCACCCTGAACATTCCCGATCTCATTTGATCTAGGAAGCTAAACAGGGTCGGACCTAGTTAGTACTTGGATGGGAGTTTAGAGAAAAAAAAAATATTTAAAGACTTAATGGTGTATAATTACCAGAAATTATAAAAGATTCATAACCCTAAATCAAGAATGACAATGATTCCTAGCCAGGCATGGTGGCTCACGCCTACAATCCTAGCATTCTGGGAAGCCAAGGCGGGTAGATCGCTAGAGGTCAGGAGTTCAAAACCAGCCTGAGCAAGAGCGAGACCCTGACTCTACTAAAAATAGAAACAAAGTAATTGGCCAACCAAAAATATATAGAAAAAATTAGCCGGGCATGGTGGCACATGCTTGTAGTTCAAGCTACTTGGGAGGCTGAGGCAGAAGGATCGCTTGAGCCCAGGAGTTTGAGGTTGCTGTGAGCTAGGCTGACACCACGGCACTCTAGCCAGGGCAACAGAGTGAGACTCTGTCTCAAAAAAAAAAAAAAAAAAAGAATCACAATGACTCCAAATGAATAAGAAAAAATCCATAGCCAAACATATCATAATCAAATATCAGTACAAAAACAAGGAGCAGAACTTAAACATAGCAGGGGCAAAAAAGGAAGGCCACTAGCTGGGGAACACTTGTTGGACCAACTGCTGACTTCTCAACAAATAATAAACCCCTGGTGAAACCTTTTCAATGTGCAAGACATAATAACTGTGAAACTGGAATTATGTGTACAGTAGAATTATTTTTCAAGAATGAAAGTGATATAAAGACATATTTTAAAAAAAACAAAAACTGTGTATGTTTATTTCCACAGACCCTCACCAAAGGAACTTCTAGATTCTGGGATTTAGAGAATATATTTGAGGAAGCAGAACAATCCCAAAGGAAGACTATCATGAAAAAAGGTAATAGAGAGAAGACAAAATGTTAAATATGTGGTAAATTTAAACAAATGTTTATGGTATAAAATAATCATTTCTCCTTTGAGGACAAAAAACGTAGAACAAAAAAGTCAGAAGTAGCAACTCTAAGTTTCTTGTATTATTTAGTAGGACGGTAAAGATATTGACCAGCCTTAGATTTTAAGAATGTATGCTGAAATTCATAATGTGTGCTGGGCAGATTATACTAAGATACACAGCTGTAAGAAATTACAACCAGGATACTCTCTCTCACTTGCATATGTCATGAGTTGAGTATGGCTGTGCCCCACCTCTTCTTTTTTCTAAATCAAAGCTGAAGGAGCAACCCTTACCTAGGATATGCCAGAAGGATAAAAGAATTAGCAGATACACATGTTGGCTATTAAAGTTTCTGTTTACCACATCATATACCAAAACCTAGTATCAATGGAGTGGGAATATAATCCATCAGCAAGCATGAGTTTGCAAGGACAAAGAGAATGTAACAGTAATCATTTAAAAATAATGCAATATACCATAAGGGTAATAAAACTAAGACAATAGAAAGTGAATAACTTCTAAACTTACGGGAGAGAGGAATTAGAATGGTAAAACTAAATGTATTTATTTATTCAAGAGACTGCAAGGGGAAAAAAGGGGGAAAAAGTAATCATGGACACACTGAGACATATGTACAAATGTATAAATATTAATAATTATAACAACTGTAAGTGAACTAAATTTTTCAGTTAAAAGATAAACCTCTTTTTCAGAATAATTTTTCAATAAAATTCCAGATATGTCTTTTTTTAAGAAAAGCTCAAGAAGTTTGAAAGAAGACTTAAAAAATATTTATCTAAAAATGTAGAAAATAAGAGAAGGAAGGAAACAGGCAAACATTAACAACAACAATAAAAGTCTATATAGTTATTTTAATGACATAAATCTAAGAGCAAATCTTTAAGAGGAAAAAAATCTGTTAGCAAAAAATTTCATTTTATAGTGAAAAAAGGCTCAGTTCATCAGGAAGATATAACAATTCCTAACTATAGTCCCTCAATCAAGTAGCTTTAATATATATAAAGTAAATGTTGGCAAACTTTCAAGAAAAAATTAACCAATCTCCCATTTTACTGAGGGATTTTAACACAACCTTGTCAGTATTTTCAAAGGCTTGCTCCTCCTACAAAAAGAAACCTAGAAAAAATAAAGATAATCTTTCAATTAGGAAATTAATTTAACTTGAGTAGAGAGACTCCTGAAACAGTGGCTTAAACAAATGAGTCTTGTTTTCCTCACTTACAGAAAAGTCTGATGGTTGGCAATGCAGGGCTCATATAGTGAATCCCCAAGACAGGAGGACCTATCCTTCGCTCGAGTTTTTTACTTCATGCTTAAAGACCACCAGCCTTTGCAGGCAATGAGAACACTTTCTGGAGAGAAAGAAAAAGAAATATGAGACACAAAGACATGTAACAGCTGGGTTAAAACTCTTTAAATAGTTTCTGTAAAACTTACTCTGTGACTTCCATTGGCTACATCTAGCAGAAAGGGAGTCTTGGAAATATTTTTAAATGAGTATATTGTCATCCTAAGTAAAAGAAGAAAAATATAAACATCTGTCATGTCAGTCTTCCAAACATTGTACATTGTAACCATAACTAGCAAGTTGTCTGAAAAGACTTTTCTTCCATCACTCTTTTTTTTTTTTTTTGGTCCAGTTCTGTATTTTCTTTATTTTTTTTCTTTTTTGTTTTTTATTTGAGTGGATTTAGGGAGTGCAAGTGGATTATTGTTACAGAGATGCATTGCATAGTGAAGAAATCTAGGCTTTTAATTTACACATTACCTAAATAATGTACATTGTAAAAACCAGGTAATTTTTTATTCCACATTCCCTCCCCCTCCCCCTTCTAAGTCTCCAGTGTCCATTAAGACACTGTATATAACCATGCATATCCATTGCTTGGTTCCTACTGCTAAGTGACAATATATAGTATAAGGTTTTCATTCCTGGGTTACTTCACTTAGAATAATGGTCCCCAGTTCCATCCAAGCTGCTGCAAAAGACATTATTTCATTCTTTTTCATGGCTGAGTAGTATTCTATGGTATACATGCACTTTTTTGGTCAACTCATCAGTTGGTGGGCACTTAGCTTGGTTGCATATCTTTGCAATAGTGAATTGTGCTGCAATAAACATGATAGCGGCTATCTTTTTAGTAAAATGACCTCTTTTCCTCTTTTCCTTTGGGTATATTCCTATTAGTGAGATCACTGGGTAGAAGAGTGGGTAGATCTACTTTTGGTTCTCTGAGAAATCTCTATACTGTTTTCCATAGAAGTTGTACCAATTTAGATTCCCACCAAAAATGTATAAGTGTTCCCTTTTTACCGCATCTGTGACATCTGTTGTTTGTTGACTTTTCCCCAGTCAGAATGGCCATTTATAAAAAGTCAACAAACAACAGATGTTGCAGATGTAGCCATTCTGTCTGGGGTAAGGTAGTATCTCATTGGGGTTTTAATTAACATTTCCCTAATGATTACTGATGTTGATCATTTTTCATATGTTTATGGGTCATGAAATTCACTTTTCCCATCTGTGAATATTTTAGTTATTTATTTTTAAACACAGTAATATACCCCATACTAGTTTTTGCCCCTTAACATTTCATACACATTATATCTCCATTTATTCAGCTCCTACTGGGCAGGCTTCTCCTATGCTGCATTCTTGCAGAGTTCTGGTGATCACTGCCTTCCATTGCCTTTTCAGGTGTAGAAATAGTGCCTTCCTGATGGTGCAAACCCTGGGCTTTTCCACTCTCACTTGCTGGTTTCCTTTAACTCTGCCTACAACTCCCTAGTTGTCTCTTCATTAAATACTCTTCATTTAACCCTACTGAATGTGCCCTATTTTTCTTTCCACAACTCTGACTATTATGGATGTGTATTATATTAAAAACTCCATTTCTTCTAGAGTAAGTAATGCTCAGGAAGATGAAATCATTTTCTAAGCTGGCATGGCAGATAAGGGAGGTAAAAATCCAGATTTGAACCCAAGTTTTCAAATGTCAATATCCATAGATGTTTCCATGTTGGGTGGTAGATAAAGACTGACCTATAGATGATACTATAACTCTTAAAGAGTTACATATAACAAAATATGTTTTTGCAATATTTTAGAACAGTAATGATTATTATGAAAATATTATATCAGTATCAATGATTCTTGGCTATCTAGCACAGCAATATTTTTGTGAGAGCTAGCCACATCACAAGATCTGGGACATTTTGATTAAGTACAAGAAGCAGATACCACAACATATAGCATGTTTCAAAATGAGAACTTCAATGACAGTGCTGTCCACAGAAAAGAGAGCCCAAGAGGTTGTAACCTATTAGCCTTCTTTCCAATTCCCATAAATCCAGAGAAAAATTGCCACAATCTCAAAGTAACAATTGAAGCAAAAGGAAACATGGTGACAGAGGGGGAGATGATGGATATCTCCCATCCCCCCATCATACTTGGCTAGTTTTCTGGAAAAGAAAAATAAATTTGCCAAACTTAATCTGAATTTGCTTGACTCTCCTGAATCTTTCATCCATAATGAACATGAAGTTTTCACCATTACTGTAAGGCTCACATGTCATAATCCTGCTTTTTTTGTGGTTTGATGATAAAAACCACAGACATTCACAAGTGTATAGGAAATTCAATAGAGCCTCAAAAATGTTCTGGTTTTGTTTGGCAGTCCAGAATAGGAGAAACCCAAAATTTCAAAGGAAGCTTAATGAGTTAATTCCACATGAATCAAAAGCCACTGAGTCAATTCAACCAAGTTGATCCAACTCAAAACTACCACACAATCCTGGTTTTAATCCTACTCTTTACCTGTACTGACACTGAAGGATTTCTTTATTACAAATTTTGTATAATCAATTCAAAATCGAACATTATTAAAATAACTTGGTATTTTAAAAACCTATTATTTGTTTTTAATCACTTATAAATCTCAACATATAAACAGTTGAGTTTTCTTCATCAACAAAGACACTTTTAGATAAATTTTAGTTACAATTTACTTTATTGAAATTTTTTAAAATACATTCACATTTTTATATGAAATGTATAAAATACATTTCACATTTAAAATACATTCAGATACCACAACTATTACATTTACAAAAGAGTATAGAGAGAAATGTATGTTTTTCTTCTACCCTGTTCTCTAGTCATAAGCTCTTTTCATTGGAGACAACCCCAATCACTAGTACTTGAGTATCTCTCTACATATATACAACAAACATCTCTATAAGTGGGTCTGTCAGTATTGACATATATTTAGGTTTTATTTGTATTTTATGCAAATGGTAGTATGATCTATAGTGCTTTGGCCATTCTTCTCATTTAAGATATATCTTGGATATCACTCCATAGCATTGCTTCATTCACATATAATAGATAGACACAATTCATTTGTATGAATGCATCATAATTATAATACTAGCTAATATTTTTAAAACATTTAGTTGGATTCTGGCATAGTTCTCATGCTTTAACCAATCCAATTCTTAATGGTACTGTTATTAAACCCATTTTACATGTGAAAAAAATTGAGAGGCAGAAAGATTCATTAACTTGCATAAAATCACAGAGATAGATGATATCCAAGAAAACAGAGGTGAGATAGTTTAGTTCCAGATTCTGAGTTTGTTAGGAGACAATTCACCATGTTTCTCTTACGTTGCGGCAAATTTTGTGAACAGAGGCACTGGATGTTTTTGTTAAAGACTATCTTTTCAATAATGTTTGTGTAGAAAACATCTTTGGAAAATAGAGATTATAAATCCCTTCTAGGCAGAGGGCAGATTTCTTTACTGCCCGGGAAATTAAAGATAGCATCTCTTTCCATGGCAAAAGGCAGATTTGTTTGCAATTGTCTGTAAAAGATTTGAGTTGAGTTTGGGGTTCATAGGCCATGATGCAATCCTACTGT